TTTTTTTTTGAGACAAGTCTCCCTCTGTTGCCCAGGCTGAAGTGCAGTGTCGTGACCTCAGCTCACTGCAACCTCTGCATCACGGATTCAAGCTATTCTCCTGCCTCAGCCTCCCCAGTAGTTGGGATGACAGGCATGTACCACCACACCAGGCTAATTTATTTTTATTTTGAGATGACGTCTTGATCTGTTGCTCAGGCTGGAGTGCAGTGGCATGATCTCGGCTCACTGCAAACTCTGCCTCCTGGGCTCAAGCAATTCTCCTGCCTCAGCCTCCAGTGCAGCTGGGATTACAGGTGCACACCACCATGCCCAGCTAATTTTTTTGTATTTTTAGTGGAGACGAGGTTTCACCTTGTTGGCCAGGCTGGTTTTGAACTCCTGACCTCAAGTGATCTGCCTGCCTCTGCTTCCCAAAGTGCTGGGATTACAGGTGTGAGCCACAGCACCTGGCCTGTGCTCCCATTACTTTTTTTTTGGAGACAGAGTCTCGCTCTGTTGCACAGGCTGGAGTGCAGAGGCAGAGGCACGATCTTGGCTCATTGCAACCTCTATGTCCCAGGTTCAAGCTATCCTCCTGCCTCTGCGTCCTTAGTAGCTGGGATTACAGGCATATGCCACAATGCCGGGCTAATTTTCTTTTTTTTTTAGTGGAGATGGGGTTTCGCCATGTTGGCCAGACTGGTCTTGAACTCCTAACCTCAGGTGATCCACCTGCCTCGGCCTTCTAAAGTGCTAGGATTACAGGTGTGAGTCACCACGCCCGGCCCCCATTACTTTTATGTACTCCCATTATAGCACTAGGCTATCTCCATTTGTGTATTTTGTTTTCCCCTTTAGTAGCCTCCTTATAAGTATAGAATAATATTTAAGAGCTGGCGGCCAGGTCACAATGGCTCATCCTGTGGTCCCAGCTACTCAGGAGGCTGGAGGGGAGGATTCCTCGAGTTTGGGAGGTCGAGGCTGCAATGAGCTGTGATTGCACCGCTGCAGTCCAGTCTGGGCAACAGAGTAAGACTAAAACAATGAGCGCTGGTCCTTAACTTCCCCCCTTTTTTTTTTTCCTTTTGAGATGGAGTTTTGCTCTTTTTGCCCAGCCTGGAGTGCAACGGCCCGATCTCAGTTCACTGCAACCTCTGCCTCCTGGGTTAAAGTGAATCTCCTGCCTCAGCCTCCCGAATAGCTGGGATTACAGGTGCACGCCACCCCCCCTGGCTAATTTTGTACTTTTTTTTTTTTTTTTTTTTTTGAGACGGAGTTTCGCTCTTGTTACCCAGGCTGGAGTGCAATGGCGCGATCTCGGCTCACCGCAACCTCCGCCTCCTGGGTTCAGGCAATTCTCCTGCCTCAGCCTCCTGAGTAGCTGGGATTGCAGGCACGCACCACCATGCCCAGCTAATTTTTTGTATTTTTAGTAGAGACGGGGTTTCACCATGTTGACCAGGATGGTCTCGATCTGTTGACCTCATGATCCACCCGCCTCGGCCTCCCAAAGTGCTGGGATTACAGGCTTGAGCCACCGCGCCCGGCCCAATTTTGTACTTTTAAGCCGCTGCGCTGGGCCAACTTCCCTTCTTTTTTGAGACAGGGTCTCACTCTGACGCCCAGGTTGGAGTACAGTGGCATGATCTCTGCTCACCGTAACCTCCGCCTCCCGGGTTTGAGCTAGCCTCCCACCTCATACTCCCCAGTTTTTGGCATTACAAGTGCATGCCACCATGCCCGGCTAATTAGTATTTTTGTAGAGATGGCGTTTCACTATGTTGGTCAGGCTGGTCTCGAACTCATGACCTAGGGAACCACCATCCTTGGCTTCCCAAAGTGCTGGGATTATAGGCGTGAGCCACCGTGCCAGCCCAATTTCCCTCTTTAACGGCATCTGAGCTAGGGTCCACGTTTCATACCTCCCCAATAATCTGCCTTGCACAGCAGACACTAACCACCCTAATGCTTATTATGAAACCCCATTCTTCAGACATATAGCACTTTCCTTAAACCTTCCTGTTCAAAATGCAGTGCACTGCAGTATTTCTCCCCTACTCCACCATTAAGCAGCCTCTTGGTAAGCAGGACTGTGTTGGGTCTCTCCGTTACTACCGCCTACTACAACCTAGCAGTGTGTTGCAGGAAACGACGGGGCACCCCTTCTCCCCCAAATTATGTGCGTGGAGACACAAAGTGTCTCAGTCTCTCCATTCCAGAAACCTAGACTCTCCCCTCAAATATCCTTCGTGGCTCATCTACAGCACTAAGGTCTCAAGACAGAGGCAAAAGCTAGCCCCGAATGGCAAATGCTCCTCCTCCGCCAAGAACCTCGAATTTCCGCTGTCCCTGGACAGAGCCTCCAACCTTCAGAAAAATGGTGAAGTGGGCCCTTTTCCACAGCACAGGCTTTTCACGTTTTTGTGGTGGAATGTTTCCTGAGTGAGCTGATTTACTCCCTCAAGAGTAACCAACGCTCCATTTCAATTCCCCACGATCCCGACTCCGCGTCCCTCCGCCACGGCCTTGCCTCCCGCTGCCAACGCAGCGGTTTCTCAGAGAAATCGCCCAAGGCGCGTGGCCGGGCGGTTGGGCGACCAACGGTTTTTTAACGCGAGAGGACAGCGCGGGAGGAGAGGCGGGAACGCGTAAGGACTAGCGGGGGCCGGGGTGGGGGTAGGGTGGCGGACGAAGGGCGGGGCCGGCGCCAGGAAGGATCGCGAAGGAGCTCGGAGGCCCCGCCCTTTCCGTAGATATCTCTAGAAAGCCGTGCCGGAGCCCGAAAACAAGGACTGCGCACGCGCGGTGGCAAGGCCCGGGCATTTTGCTGCGTCACCAGCCGCCGCCCGGCCTCACCACCCCTCGTTCGCACGCACGCACGTTCATTCTCCGTCCTCGCGCCCCTTTTCCTACACTTTCCTCTTCTCCCCGACCGGAGGAGCCGCTCTTTCCGCGCGGTGCATTCTGGGGAGCTAGGTCGAGCCCGCCGCTACCGCCGTCGCCTGAGGGAAGCGAGAAGAGGCCGCGACCGGGGACAAAACGCGGAGTCGCCACCGGAGAGAAGTCGACTTCTTAGCAGCAGCCGCCGCCAGAGAGGCCCGCCCACCCGTTCGCCCGTCCCCCTGCCCCGTTCACAATGTGAGTGCGACACCCCGCCGAGGGAAGGTCGCCCGGAGTGAGGCCAAGGCCGCGTCGGGGGCTCCCGGAATACGGCCCCGGCCCTCCTTCCACTCTCGACCCCCCAGCCTTTCTCGCATCGGTGGTGGCAGTCTTGCCTGCTTGGGGGCGGGGGGGTCTAGTATCCTTGTTCCGGTTACCGTTGGCGGGTGGAGGACATTTTCCTCCAGATGTCCGCTTCCCCCACCTCTAAAACGTCCCTTGGCTTCCCCGTGCCGGAAATGCTACTTTTCCCCTTTGGCCGTCTGGCCGACTCGCTTCTTTCTGTAACTTCACCCTAGGCCTTGAGCTCTTGGGAGCTGCTCGCCATGCGGCGCCCTGAAGCGTGAACCCTCGTGGGTCGCTTCACGGCTGCCTGGGCGCTCCAGTTCTGCTGCTCCGTGGTCCCTGGGCCGAGCACACCTGTGGTGGGTGCCGCCAGGTACCTGGCGGAGCTCCTGGGAGAGCCCCACGCGGGCCTCGCCGTGAGCTGCAGGGTACTGCTAGGCAACTAGAGGGAAGCCATGCCCATGCCGCAACTTACTCCCCTCTCCTGTGTCTGGGTTTCTTGAGTGTGGGTACTTCTAGGCCGCCTCCTAACTCCAGTCTGTTGAAAACATGGGAGGTTGCCAGAACTCAGCCGCTTCCTGGCAGCGAGGAGTTACCATTGAGCAGGTAGTTGGGCACGTGTCGACTTTGGAAGGATACATACAGACATTTTCAGTGTTCCATGTTAAACTTTAGGTGAGGTTTCACTAACCTGCCTCAGTGCAGGTTGAAATAGATTGTAATTAACTTACAGTTGTCCTAAAGAGCTTAAATTTGATGGTGTGTAGGTGAATACAAATTCTACAGCAATCTTCGTTTTATGGTAAAGGAAAGCCTTGGTTGATTTTTACCGAATAAGAATTCATGGCCCTGCCGCGTCCAGTGAGGGCTCCCGGTTTCACAGGGTTTTGTTTTGTTTTTTGGACGGGACGTTATTTTTTAAGTTATTAGCTAAGTCTTAAAAGATATGGAGAACAATTGAAGAGGGAGTGAGTGTTCTCCCCCCCAACTCCATTTAGGAGAGAGATGAGGAGAGTAACTTTATTCCTGTGGAAAAGTAACAAACATTCAAGGGTTTACTTAATTCAAGCCATGACACTGACAGTGAGTATATCGGCTAAGTCTAAAGGGATGAGTGAGGGATACGCTGAAGCCAGTTTGTCACTGAGAACAAGCTTCTAGAGCACAGCGTGTATTACTGTAAGGGCGTAAATTAGAATTATGGAGGAGCCCCCTCCCTGAAAGTGGTACGTAAACGGGGTTTTTACAAATCCGAATCTATGTAAAATAGCTTTTGCTTTTCCCTTCTAAGTAATGTAGAAGGAACTTCAGTCTTAACCTTTTATACTCAAAATCTATAAGGGGAAAATTTTTGTCAGATGAGGTATAAGTAACTTAATACAGCTGAACAAATCTTTTCGCGAAAAATACGTTTAAAATTGGCTTGGGGTAGAAGCACTTTCTGGAGGCCACATAAGATATTTAAATAGGTAAGAAATGACTAAGTTATGTAAGTAGATTAAAAAGCTTGAATGAAAATAAAGTGTAAGTCAGGGCGCAGTGGCTCACACCTGTCCTGCACTTTGGGAGGCTCAGGCGGTCGGATCAGGAGACCAGCCTGGCCAATACGGTGAAACCCCATCTCTACTAAAAATACAAAAACTAGCTGGTTGTGGTGGTGCTCACCTGTAATACCAGCTGCTCTGGCGGCTCAGGCAGGAGAATCGCCTGAACCCGGGAGGTGGAGGTTGCAGTGAGCCGAGATTGAGCCATTGCACTCCATCCTGGACAATAGAGGGGAGACTCCGTCTCACCAAAAAAAGAGAAAGGGTAGCAGTAGAGAGGCTATTCCAAAAAGTAGCCTCTCTAGTTAAAAAGAAAAGAAAGCTACCTTCAAAACAAGTGATCCGATGCCACATGCAGGGTGTTGAGGGAAAAAACGAATGTTTTGAAGAGACACCAGCTAATCTCATACTTTTAGAAATATTCAGTATGTGTCATTTGTTAAATTCTTCAGGGACTCCTACCAAGTTAAAGATTTGAATGAAATTATAAAATGAATGTTGCAAGTCAGTTGTCTGACGTGGAAGAATCCTTTTCTGGGTCCGTCATCCAGTTCTAGGAAGAATCTGGCTGATGAGGGTTTATTTTATTTTTTTGAGGCAGGGTCTTGCTCTATCGCCCAGGCTAGAGTGCAGTGGCGCGATCTCGGCTCACAGCAACCTCCACTTCACCTCCAGCGCTCAGGCGATCCTCCTTGCCTCAGTCTCCTGAGTAGCTAAGACTTCTGGCAAGCACCTCCAGGCCTGGTTAATAAAACTTTTTTTTTTTTTTTCCCTCTTTCTCTTTAAAGATTTGGAGAGAGAGATTTATGCTGGGTGCATTAAGGGCTTGGGAATATGTTTTCTCATTTGATTTACTCATTTGCTCTTTAGCGATTTCCTAGTTACATTTCTTTAAATCCTAAGTTATGAAAGTTTGTCTCATAGTTTATAAAAAAGCTCTTAATTTTGGACCTATCTTGGAGAAGGCTGGGATTTTATTTATTTATTTTTTTTTATTTTTTTTTTGAGACGGAGTTTCACTCATGTTACCCAGGCTGGAGTGCAATGGCGCGATCTCGGCTCACCGCAACCTCCGCCTCCTGGGTTCAGGCAATTCTCCTGCCTCAGCCTCCTGAGTAGCTGGGATTACAGGCACGCACCGCCATGCCTAGCTAATTTTTTTGTATTTTTAGTAGAGATGGGGTTTCACCATGTTGACCAGGATGGTCTCCATCTCTTGACCTCATGATCCACCCACCTCGGCCTCCCAAAGTGCTGGGATTACAGGCTTGAGCCACCACGCCCGGCCAGAAGGCTGGGATTTTAGGTCCTTCCCCCATTTAAGATTTTGTGCTTAACTAACCTTGCAGAGTGCTACTTAGCATTTTCTTTTTGAACCATTGCCGTTGGACCAATTAAAAATAGATTAAAAAGTAAAATATTTTATTTACTTTACGGGTATTTGAAGTCATTGTTTTTCTTGTCTAACGTCTTGTATATAATTAGGAAGTTGTACAGAAACCATGCATCTCTGATTTTGGTAAAAGTCTTAACTTTGTCCTCACTCAGCTGTGTAGGAACAAATCCCCAAAATAAAATTGTCAGTGTTTAGCCTTGAAAACAAATTGTCATAGTGAACATATGCTATATTTTTAATTTCTATAAGTTAGAGAATATCTGATGGGTGGGTGGCCTTTGTTCCATATTGATTTCCTAGCCACTGTAACCTGGCAACTGGATTTTTACTTTTTCTTCCTGTCAGTTAGACTTTAACTAGAAGGCAGTAGAAACTGGAAGAGAAAAACCTAGAGTGCAAGGAAGTGTTTTATTGCTAAATTAAGATTCTCCTGCCTAATTAAATTTTCTCAGTTTAAAAATTTTCTACAAGCCATGTCATTTTTGGGTCTTGTGTGGTTAGTGATTGATCCTTTTTTTTTTTTTTAATTTGTTTATTTTTAGAGGTGGGGTGTGGGGGGGTGGTTTTCTCCGTGTTGGTAAGGCTGGTCTTGAATTCCTGACCTCAGGTTATCTGCCACTTGGCTTCCCAAAGTGCTGGGATTTTAGGCATGAACCACCACGCCCAGCCTGTCCCTTTTCAAGAAAAAAAAAACAAAACAAAAAACCTTTGTAAATATCAACTGTTTAGATAATCTAGCTTTTAAACATCTAAGAACTTATTTACATGAATTCAAAAAATACTCTAGTGAACATATTTTGTTATGGAAATGGTGTATTGAAATTTTTATTGTTTACTGTATGGATTGGCAATGATAGGGTTTTGTTTTGAGACATAGTCTTGCTCTAGACTCCAGTCACCCAGACTGGAGTGTAGTGGCGCGATCTCGACTCACTGTAACCTCCATCTCCTGAGTTTAAGCAATTCTTTTTTTGCATGCACCACCATGACTGGCTAATTTTGTAATTTTAATAGAGATGGGGTTTCTCCATGTTGGTAAATCTGGTCTCAAACTCCCAATGAGGTGATCTGCCTGCCTCAACCTCCCAAAGTGCTGGGATTACAGGCGTGAGCCACTACACCCGGCTACTTTTTTGTATTTTTAGTAGAGACAGGGTTTTGCCAGGGTGGTCTTAAACTCCTGACCTCATAATTCATTCTCTCTCTCTCTCTCTCTCTCTCTCTCTCTCACACAGACACACACACACACACACACACACACACACTCACTAGATATGGAGTCTGGCTGTGTGCCTAGGTTGGTCTTGAACTCCTGGGCTCAAGAGGTCTTCCAGAGTGCTAGGATTACAGGTGTGAGCTCCTGTACCCAGCCCTTGCTATACTTCTGAACTTCTGGTTTTCCAGAAATATTCCTTCTTTTCGTGAGACACTGTCTCACTATTTTGTACAGGCTGGTATCATCACTCCTTGCAGCCTCAAACTCTTGGGATTAAGCCATCTTCCTGCTTTGGCCCCCCAGTAGCTGGGACTACAGGTGTACACTACCACACCCAGCTAACTTTATTAATTGTTTGGAAATAGTGGCCCAGGCTGGAGTGCAGTGGTGTGATCTTGGCTCACTGCAACCTTCACTTCCCTGTTACTCAAGCAGTTCCTCTGCCTTAGCCTCTGGAGTAGCTGGGATTACAGGCACATGGCCCCAACTGGCTAATTTTTTTTTTTTTTTTTTTTTTTTTTTGGATTTCACCATGTTGGCCAGAGTGGTCACGAACTCCTGACCTGAGACCATCTGCCTGTCTGGCCTCCCAAAGTACTGGGATTACAGGCGTGAGCCACCGCACCCAGCCTCTCTTCTCCCACTTTGTACTCCAAAGCTGAATAAAATGTGCTGTCGTGGCTTCTCTGTGCCTCAGGTGTTCATTCACATGAAGCCACGCTTTGTTTGATAAAAATTGTTGCTGGGCACGGTGGCTCATGCCTATAATCCCAGCACTTTGGAAGGCCGAGGTGGGTGGATCACCTGAGGTCAGGAGTTCGAGACCAGCCTGGCCAACCTGGTGAAACCCCATCTCTACTAAAAATAGAAAAACTGGGCCGGGCGTGGTGGTTCATGCTTGTAATCC